CACTGACAAAACACAAAGTCAACCTACCAACTGGGAGAAGATATTTGCCAATGATACATCCAATAAGGGGTTAATATCCAAAATTTATAAGGAACTCATACAACTTACCACTAAAAAATAAATAATACAATTTAAAAATAGGCAGAAGATGCCCTGGGTGGTGTGGTCCAGTGGTTAGAGTGTCAGCCTGCGCACCTAAGGGTCCTGGGGGTTTGATTCCTCATCAAGGGCACATGCCTGGGATGCAGGTTCCATCCCCAGCCCCGGTTGGCGTGCCTGCAGGAGGCAACCAATCGATGTGTCTCTCTCACATTGATGTTTCTCTCTCTCTCTCTCTCTCTCTCTCTCTCTCTCTCTCTTTCCCTCCCTCCCTCCTCTCCACTCTCCCTGAAAAGCAATGGAAAAAATATCCTTGGATGAGGATTAAAACATAAAATAAAAATAAAATAAATAATAAAATAAAATAAATAAAACAAAAAATGAGCAGAAGACCTGAATAGACATTTCTCCAAAGAAGACATACAGATGGCCAACAGACATATGAAAAGATGCCCAGTGTCACTAACCATCAGAGAAATGCAAATCAAAACCACAATGAGATATCACCTCACACCTGTCAGAATGGCTCCATCAACACATCAGCAAACAACGAGTGTTGGCAAGGATGTGGAGAAAAGGGAACCCTCATGCATTGTTGGTGGGATTGCAAATTGGTGCACCCACTATGGAAAACAGTAAAAAGTTTCATAAAAAAAAAATTAAAAATAAAACTACCTTATGACCCACCAATTCCACTTCTGGGCATTTATCCAAAGAAATCCAAAACACTAATTTGAAAAGATATACGCAGCCCTACGCTCACTGTAGCATTATTTACAATAGCCAAGATATGGAAGCAACCTAAGTGCCCATCAATAGATCACTGAATAAAGAAAATATGGTACATATACACAATGGATATTACTTTGCCATAAAATATAACAAAATCTTATCATTTGTGACAACAAAGATTGACCTAGAGGTTATAAGTAAAGTAAGTCAGACAGAGAAAGACAAAGACCATATGATTTCACTTATATGTAGAATCTAAAGAACAACATAAACAGACAAAACAAAATAGACTCAGATACAGAGAACAAACTGATGGTTGCCAGATGGGAGGGGGGTTTAGGGGCTGGGTGAAAAAGTAAAAGGATTAAGATGTACAAATTGATAGTTACAGTCCCAAGGATGTAAAGTACAGCATAGGGAATATGTATACAATAACAATGTATGGTGCCAAGTGGGTACTAGACTTATGGGGGAGAGGGGACAATCACTTCGTAAATAACATAAATGTTGAACCACTATGCTGTACACCTGAAATTAATATAAAATAATATTGAATGCCAACTGTAATTCAAAAAATAAATTTTTTTTTTTTAGAAAAAGAAAAATTATGTGCTTTTCAAAACAAAAGGCAGTAAAAAATTTTAAGAAAATGGCTTTAAATTAATCTACAGTTTCAGTACTCATCTTGCTGTCAAAGATGGGTACCTTTAATCTCAGTCACATACTCAACCAACTTCAGCTAAAGCTAAAAAAGAGCTTCTGAACCTTGAGAATGAACTACAGTGACAGTTTAAAAAATTGTAATAAAAAAAATTTTTAATAGCCTATTGAAATGATGCCTTTTAAACACTAGTCAAAATTTCACCCTAAGTTAACAACCAAACATAGCAGCGAAAACATACATACTTGGGATACATTTTAATAAAATAATCTGAAGCTTTAGTGCTAAATTATACTAATATGATTTTCTAAAATAAAGAGACAAATGAAATAACATTTAATGGTCTTTTTATTCCATGTTTTTAAATATGAATTCAATAACTGCCTAAAAAATAACAGCTTTTTTTTTTATTATTGTTTTTTATCCTCACCCAAGGATATTTTTTCCATTGCTTTTCAGAGAGTGGGGGGCGGGGAGAGAGAGAGAAACATCGATGTGAAAGACACATCAACTGGTTTATGCTTTTAGATCTCCAACCCTTTACAAATTGCTTAAGCCATTTTACTATACTTGAAAATGAAAGTAGTATAATGAAGTAATACAAAAATGCAATCTTATCAATTACTTAAGGGCTGAATTTCACACAAAACTATGTTTAATACCTAAGATTCTAATTTTAATATGACAATATAATTTAAGAGTTCCAAAGCAATTAAGCTGCCTGTCTTTCTAGATAATTAAAATCAATATTTCCATGGTTCCCGAACCTTGTACTAAAACAAACTCAGAGTTTGAAGGAAAATTTTAAAATTTCAATAGAAACACAATGCCATCTGTCAAACACCTTATGAACTACTACTACTAAGTTATTTGGGATACTACAGAAAAAATACTGAGATACATCAGCTGAGAAAGTTTGAGAACTTCCATTATATTTAATTTTAAAGTAGATTTAAAGAAACTTCTTCATTTCTCTTGATGACATTCCTGTGTCATATTAACCTGAGACATATTTGTCAACCTCTAAACTATTTAAAAATAATTTAACAATCTACAGTTAAGGAAATAAACAAACAAAAAACACTTTTGCGTGGCTCAGCGGTTGAGCATCGGCCTAGAATCCAGGAGATGGGGGTTCAATTCCCAGTCAGGGCACAAGCCCGGGTTGTGGGCTGCAGTCAATCAATGACTCTCTCATCATTGATGTTTCTATCGTGCTCTCTCTCTCTCCCTCTCCTTTCCTCTCTCTGAAATCAATAAAGATATATTTGTAAAAATTAAATTAAATTAAATTAAAAAAGTAAAAAATCCTCACATGAGGACATTTTTTTTCATTGATTCCAGAGAGAGAGAAAGGGAGAGAAGGAGAGGGAAGGAGAAACAGAGATCAATTGCCTCACCCATACACTCCAACCAAGGATGGAACCTGCAACCTGGGTATGTGACCTGACCTGGAATCGAACTCATGTACTGAGTGTGTGGGAGGATGCTCTAACCACTGTACCACACTGACCAAGGCCAAAAAAAAAACCCACCCACACTTCTTAGCACAAATAACTTTTAAAATTATATTTATTATGGCTTCCACAATCTAGTACTGGGATAAAAGAGTAAAAATATATCTCATCTCTCTGCCTAAGGAACCAATTCACACAGTTATTCAAATAGAAGGTAATTTTGTAATTATTCTTATACTTTATTCAATTTTTCAATGATTAAACTCTTTCCAGTTAGGTGTTCTGTTCATTAGCAAAGTGGTCCCATATTTCCCTGATACTACATGTCAATATAAATTGATTCCATCCAGGGTCCCATTCCCATCTCAGAAATAAGACAGGAATTACTGTATTTCTTCTTTTTTTTTTTCCCACAAAAATCACAAAATCCTTAAGTCACAGGTACCTTAGGATATGCTGATCTGTAAAAGGACTGCTGAAAGAAGACAGAAAGAAAACAGAATTTCTAGGGGCCAGAAAGCCCTGCTTCTGAGAAGGGCAGACTGAGAGTCAAAAGAAGCTGAGCTCCAGGGCAAGTTGTTTCTAACATAAATGACCACAAGCAATCCAACTTGGATAGCTTTCCTGATTTCTAAAACAAAAGGAAAGGACTATAGAATTTGGATCTGTTACTAGGCATCCCTTGAGATCAAGTCAGAGACAGAGTCCTGAGACTACCCTGGAGATTCTGGTCTAGGGGTGAAGATCACAATCTGTACAAGTGATTCTGGTGCACAGCCAGGTCCGGGAACTGCAACAATGCTTTAAGTTGACCCATGCAAGACTCAGCCAATGCTTTTAACTCTGACTTGATGTCTACAGGTATAGATGCTACCCTGTTTATCTAGAAACAAATATGCTAAGAATGGTGGAGTGGAAAGACAGAAGAGACCATGAGGAGATCTAGATCTACTGAATTCCCCTAGACTGCTTGGTATGTAAGAAAAATACCACCTTCTTTGTTTAAACCACTGTTAGTAAAAATAAATAAATAAATAAGTAAATAAATAAACCACTGTTAGTGGCTTGAAGCTGAAAAGTGTTTCAAAATGACATAGCAATGAAAGAATAGATGATCTCAAACATACAGTTCATATCTAATAATCTAAAGCTTTGGTTTTAAATAACCTAATTGCCCAGGAAAGAATACTTTTTTATAACAGCCCTGACATATGGCTATCCAGATTTTGATGAACAATCTGAAGACATCATTCAAAAAACTACCATAGCTTTACCAATTCCCATTCTTTCCATACATTTTCATTCAGTTCAAGAGCATGTTCATAGGCTGAATTAAAATGAGCATATCCTATGGAAACCCCACACTAAGAAGACTACATACTTACATTCATAATTTTTAAACTAATAAATTTAACCACATCTTGGCTTAGAAAGGTCAGAAAGACTAACAAGGGTATCCTTCATGAATCTCTCCTCCCCTTCCCTATCCTTCATCCTAACTTACCAATTTGGAAATAAAAAACCATCAGCTTTAATGTGTAGGAAATAGATATTCTGTGAAAGTCACTAGTAGGTGCTAACTCAGAGAAACCAGGGTGGTATATTATAGGCCATCATCTTTTCTATAGTGATTTGGGCTCTGGCTGGGATAGTAACTGTCCCAAAGTTGAATTAATGTTTAAAAAAAAAAAAAAAGTAGTGGCTAACACAGCATATCCCCAAATGAACCCTTCCATTTGCTCTATACCTAAATCACATTAAAGACAATTATTGCAGAGGCATTAAACAAATCCATAAATATTGACTGAGATCCTGATCATGGCAAGGAACACCAGGCAGATGGTTGGGTGGCTAACTGTGACTAGGGTGAAAGGGAAGGGCCCAGGAGATGCTGCAAAATACTAGAAATGAAGCAAATTAATTACACAGGTTAGCTAATTTCCAATTTTTCTATTATGCAATATCATCTTTACCTTTCATGCAAATAAAAACCTGACTGGAAACACACTGGTTTTCAGCCATGCTTTAAGTGAACTTTTAATTTGACCTACCGGTATTTGTTGGGTGGTTGTTGGCTGTAGCCAGGGAGCCAATGTGGTTTCGGAGATTGTCTTGAGTTGATGGAGGGCCTGAAGCTGACCACGAGGGCGTACTGTATCCTGAAACACTCTGCTGCTGGTGGTACTGTTGTGATGGTGGAGGTGGAAGTGGTGATGGATGGCTGAGAGTGGTATTTTGACTAGAAAATGAATTCTCTCTAACTGGCCTGATAGTTGAAGCATTCTGTGAGGTAAACATTTGTTGCCCATATGGCTCACCAGCAGGCAGAGAGGGATATGAAACACTAGGATACGCAGCATTAGAAACAGTTGACACAGCATAGTGACCACAAGTAGAGGGAAATCCCTGAGAAACAGCAGAAGAGTTGGCAGAGTACATGGCTGGAGTACTGTAATGATTCACAAAAGAGGAGTATGGCAAGGAGGCACTCGTATGCAAATGAGATGCTGATGATGTGGCACCTTGGAAATATTCTGGAGTGGACCCCACAGTGTGAGGGGCAGGAGGACCCCTGCCATATATCTGCTGTGCTCCTGGTTGTTGGTTTGTTGTTTTAGGAGTCACCACACTTTGTGTTGGTACTGTATAGAGACCAGAGTAGTAATTGCCACACTGGCCATCCAATGGCAATGAGGTCATTTTCCCAGATCCTTGAGAGTAATGTCCCGAGGGAGCACTATAGTTTTGAGGATACAATCCATACCCAGATGGAACCTGCATTTGATTCTGTGCTGGACCTGAAAAAGAAAAGCAAATATTTACAGGAACTGGCAAGAGGAGAACTAATTTTTAACCAAAGTTCCCATCTAAATGTTGTCTATTTAATTTACTTCTCCATAATGACAAATTGTTAGAAAAGATACATACTGTTAGACCCACTGTGGTAGCTAGACTCCAAGATAGCCTCCAATGACCCTTCCCTCCTAGTATCTACACCCTCACACAAAATACCAGAATTGGTCCATGTGATCAATAGCATATAGCAAAGGTAATAATATATCACTTCCAAGGTTTGCCCAGCCTTGGGTGTTGCCTCTTTCTCTTAGATCACTCAGTCTGGAAGAATAAACCTACCAAACTGTGAAGAGCTCTAGGATGAAGTCCATGTGGTGAGGAACAAAACTCTCTGGCCAACAGCCAAAGAGAAACTGAGGCCTGCCAAGAACCACAGGAATAAGCTTGGAAGCAGATCCTTCCTGCCTAGTAGTCTTGAGAAAACTACATCCCAAGTGACAGCTTGACTGCAATCTCATGAGACCCTAAGCCAGAACCACCCGGGTAGGTTGTTTGTTTCCAAGTTCACGTCCCTCAGAAACTATGAGATTAAATAGTTGTTGTTCTAAGTAGCTAAGTTTGGGGTATTTTGTTATGCCACAATTGATAATTAACATAACCAGCATGGAAGAAGTTCAAACATTTCTATTAACTTTTAAGAAAAACTATAAAAGTAACAATATACCCAGTATAAAAAAAAAAATTAAAACAATGAAGACTATAAAGTGAAAAGTCCAAATCCCCTTCTCTCCCTGGTAGCTGATATCCTACTTCCCAGCTGTAGCTACAGCTAATAGTTTCTTGTGTATCCTTTGTATGCCTACCTACATATGAGTAATATGTAATGTATATATAAGCACATATATAAACACACACATTTCATACTACAATTCTGTAACCTGCTTTTCTAACTTAATATATCCTAGATATCATTCTGTTAGCATAAATATTCATTATTCTTCTAAAAAAATCTACATAGTATTTCGTTGTAGAGATATAACATTATTTACCAAATCCCCACTGATAGCTATTTAATTCAGGGAGTGAACCTAATTTATATTTATGAGGTCAGCTTCTGTGATGAATCTGTAGGATAAGTTCCTAGAAGTAAAACTACAGGTTCAAAGGGTTTGTGCTTCTTTCATTTTTAAAAAAATCCTCACTCGAGGATACGTTTCATTATTTAGAGTCAAGGGAAGGGAAAGAGAAAACATCAATGTGTGTATGCGCACCCCAACTGGGGATCGAACCTGTAACCTTCCAGTGTATGGGATGATGCTCCAACCAACCGAGCAACACCACCCAGGGCAAGGGTTTGTGCTTTTAAAATGGACCATTATTGCCCTGGCCAGTGTAGCTCAGTTGGTTGGGTGTTGTCCTGTGCACCAAAAGGTTGCTGGTTTGATTCCCAGTCAGGGCACATGCCTGGATTGTGGGCTTGATCCCTAGTGGGGAAGTCATGCAGGAGGCAGCCCACTGATGCTTTGCTCTCACACATTGATATTTCTCTCTCTAAAAATCAATAAAAATATACATTTTTAAATAACAAATTTAAAAATTGACCATTATTGCCAAATATCACTCCAAAAAGATCTATCAATTTATACTTCCCATCAATAATGCTTGAGAATGTCTCATCTTCCCAACACTGAATGGCATTTTAATCTTGCAAATTTGATAATTGAAAAAACATTTTAGTTTGCAGTAATTAAAAGTTTGAGTGATGCTGAGAATCTTTTCAAATATTTCTTAGCCATTTGAGTGTCTTCCTCTGTTATTTGCCCTTTTCCACGGGGTTGTGTTTTCCTTAATGATTTGTAAATGTTCTTGTATGTTAACTTTATATGCTGTATATTTTTTCCCTTGGGTTACTGTTTGTCTTTTGACTTTATTCATGGAATCTTTTGCTACAGTATTTCAATTTTTATATAGTAAAATCTTTCATGCTTGATACATTTTTAAAGCACTCTTGGTAGAACCTTCCCCATTCCAGCGTTATAAAACTATATATCCATGTTTTCCTCTGATGCTTTAATACTTTTACTTTTATATTTTTATATCTTTGATCACCACAGAAGGTATTTATTTTATCAATATTATTAAAATTAACATTAATTATATCATTAATTTTGTTGATAGTCTATTATTAAACATTTTACACTATGTGGCATTCAATGTTCTAAATGCTACACACATATATTAATTTCTTCCTTCCTCACAGCCTCTAGAAGTAAATAATATCATTATACTCACTTTATAAATAGGATTAATGAGGCACCGAAATTAAGTCATTTAATAGTCACAATCATAGAAAGTAACTAGGCTGGGATTTGAACCAAGTAATCTGGCTCAAGTAAATACTTTTAAACAATCATCACTACACTAAATCCAGCTGGCTTTCTTTATCCTGGCAAATACAGGTCAACTGTCCCAAACAATGAATTCTAGCCTCGGTTCCAACTAAGGGCAAACTTTATTCTACAATCACATTTTCCAATCTTGTGAAAGGAAACATATCTGTGCCACATCTCAAATGAAAGCATAACAAAAATAATTATTCACACGCTGTTTTAAGTTCATTAACACAAGGAAGTGCCACTGTATTCCTTGCCATAATAATGTATAAAAATATTTGTTTATAAAAGTCATCAATAAAGCTTAACATTTCCTTACTTGGTTTTCAATTTCTATTAAATAATGTAACAGAACCTTGATCTTTGATTATATAAATACATATTCTATGGCAGACACAAAGATAACTTACACAATCAAGCTGTAAGGAAAAAATAACATACACACTTCTATAATTCTAAGAAGTATATAAAGAACCAAAAGTAAGATAAAACTGTTTTACTAGGTATCTAATTTACTTTTCTTGCAGGATATTTTACATCATCATGGTTTACCTGAAACAATTTACTTAAACGGAAAAGAATGTAATAGGAATCTTTGGTTAACATGCCAAAAAAATGTGAAATGTTTTCCCTCCCCCGTTTCTTTTTTTTTCAAATATATTATTATTGATTTCAGAGAGAGGAAGGGAGTGGGAGAGAGAGAAAGAAACATCAATGATGAGAGAGAGTCATTGATCAGCCACCTCCCACACCCCCGTTGGGAATCAAGCCCACAACCTGGGCATGTGCCCTGACAACCCTGAATGGGAATCAAGCCTCGATTTCCTGGACCACAGGTCAATACCCAACTGCTGAGCCATGCCCGGCCGGGCCCTCTCGTTTCTTTTTTTATTTTTTATTTAAATATATCTTTATTGATTTCAGAGAGAGGAAAGGAGAGGGAGATAGAAACATCAATGATGAGAGAGTCACAGATCGGCTGCCCCCTGCACGCCCCCAACTGGGGATCACGCCCGCAACCCAGGCATGTGCCCTGACCAGGAATCAAACCCTGATCGCTTGGATCCTAGGTCAATACTCAACCACTGAGCCACGCCTGGCCGGGCCCTCCCATTTCTTAAAACACCTTGCTGACCAGTCATTTTGAGCCAGAACTGGCCCATGCGGCTGGCTACTTTGGTCAGCAAGGTGTTTAAAATTACTTAAAATACTATAAGTGCAGGCACATGTATACTTGTGACCGGTCAGCAAGGTGATATTAAATATATAAAAAGATGAATTTGCTATTCTTCACTACAGTCTCCAAAAATTCTACTGTTAAGAATTTATCAATCAAGCCCGGCCGGGTGTGGCTCAGCAGCTGAGCATCAACCTAGGATTTAGGACATCGGGGTTCAATTCCTGGTCAGGGCATATGCCCAAGTTGCCGGCTCCGTCTCCAGTCCGGGGCATGCAGGAAGCAGCCAATCAATGACGACGCTCTCATCATTGATGTTTCTATCTCTCTCTCTCCCGCTCCCTTCCTCTCTCTGAAATCAATAAAGAAATATAAAAAAAAAAAGAAAAAAGAATCTATCAATCAAGAGAAGATCCAAGTCATAGTTGGGTTGATAAATCCCACTTAGTAATTCAGTTGGCTCATCTATGCTACATGTCTGAAAACAGGAAAATAATCATGTCCAACCTATTCAAATGTCATTCTTCTAAAATAACAGAAATGTTGTATCTATTGAAATTTATCAGAAGTGAACCACCCATCAGAGGAAACCTATTTTCAGTCCATCAAAGAAAAAGAAAGGTACTTTGCCCAGAGAAGGGGAAAAGGGGAAATAGCTAATCACATGTTGATGCTTACCACATCTAAAAATTGCAAAAGCGTGAAGGATCTGAAAATAATTTCATCAAAAATGATAACTGAATCAAGACTCCTTTGAAAGCAAATTGTTTCTTTCAAATATTTAAAGTCAATTTTTAAAAGCCTGCACTAAAAGAAGAAGAAAAAGAATCAGTTTGAATGGGAAGAAAATATCTCCAAGTAAAATATCTTTAAAAATTCTGTCTTACTGTGACCTAACAAGAAATGTATTTTCTTTTTGTCAACTTTAAAATGTATTAGATAACTCTCCTAACTTTCTCTCAGGGTATAACACCACGTAACACCAAACTAATATTAAATTTTTATTTCTTCTGCCTGTACTAAAAACTGAGCCTGGCAAATATTACATATGAATAGTTTACATACACCTAAACTCTTAAAACACACACACATAAAAAGTCTGTAGAGGAAATTATGGAAATTTTAATATTAGCATTTTCATTTGCCTATATTTCCTAATTCCCTCAGCAACTGTGGCAGTTTTAAAACATGATCCCCAGATTCTCTGACACTCTGCTGATTCAAATTGGGGCCTATGTCTATTCCCCTTGAATATGAGCAGGCTGTAATGGCTTCCACCAATGAAGAATGGCAGAGGCAAAGCTGTGGGTCTCTTCAGACTCAGTCACAGGAAACTCAGCTCCTACGTTGTTTGATGGAACATTTGCATGTGGATCCCTGAGCAGCTATGTAAGAAGTCCAATTACTCCACAGCTTTGAACCTTCCCAATTACTTCCCAGCTTAGGCCCTAGACACCCTGTTGTGCCCTGCCCAAATTCTTGAT